CTGGGTAAGCGTCTCTCCATTCTGCGGCTATGTGTATACACGGAGGCCCGAGTCATCTGTTTCTTTCTCATGCTTTTAGCTCATTTTTTCCACACACCTCTGAGTGAGCTAAGGGCTGAAAAACAGACGGGCAACAGAAAAAGAAACAACAGTGGGCCTCAAAAATGCTTTGGCAATAAGGAGCTCAACCAGTTTTCTTGCTTAGCACCCCAAATTCCAGTCAAGTCCTCTCCTGTACACATCAGTCACTCTCCAAAACCCTAATTTACAAAAATGCCTTTTGTTCACAGAAAGTTTACATATTTCAAGTTTAGAAAATCGTTACACATTTCAAGTTCTCTTTTAACATACAAGGAAATGTTCTGCATTTTCACAAAAAACACAGGAACATTAACTAGACAAATAAAGGTCATCTCAAACCGCATGTAAAACATCAGGCTTAAGTGCAATTATGTTCTCCACAGCACAGAGCATAAAACAAGGGGAGTCAACAACTGCAGCACATACATAATTGGGTGCAATTATACAAGCAATACATAACTTGTTCTAATTACTTCACATTGATATCAGACTCTGTTGTATTCCAAAATCTGTAACAAAAAGATGTCGGCTAACTCCAGGTGCCTTTTAAAGGCCAGATCTACTCTACTCATTGTGTGTTGCTCAGTCAGGAAAACAACAGCATTTACAGACACCATAATGTTCAAAGAATATTTTAAGAAGTCTTTCCAGACCTCACATTTGCCGGATTGCTGGAACTGTCACTCACACTACTGAAGGTATTTCCCTAAGCCCCTAACCAGAAGAATGTTTCTAGATTGCACACATTCAGTAGCTAGTGGTGCTGAACCAGCCAAATTAAACTACACGCCACGCTACCCCAGCTGCTATGTGAACAGTTGGTGAGCCTGGGTCTGCCATGATCGCCACCGACCGGGATCCCGAAATCTGGTGACATTTATGAGTTTGATGACTAATTAAAACCAGAAGCCTATAAGGCTGTAGGAAGCTGTGGGCTACAACAGTGACCTGTGGGGGAGGACGTACGAAGCACCATGTGTCAGGCAAAATCACTTCCAGGCTGCCTTGAGACAAATGAAACAACAGTGGAAAAACCCATTGTGTGCCAAAACTTAATCAAATCAGAGAAGTACTTGGGCTTAAATATACTTAATGAAACATCTGGAACTGTTTAGGGAACTCTACAGGGGAAAGAATACACCATGTCAGGTCAGGCATGCTCCTGAGAGAACTCCAGCCTATGGCTGACAGCATGCTGGAGCAGGAACCACTATGCTTATTGCTTCAAACACCCACAACTGCCCATCTATTCATCAGAGGAATTTTTATGGACTCCATGTACCATCTGGTGAAAATAAGGGAATATGAGACTGGAAAAGAGTAAGATAGAAGTGTTTGCTCTTTTCTTTTTTCGCCTCTGCTCAAATCACGGTCAAACTAGCTCAAGTAAAACAGCCCAGCTATAGACTGCTTCTTCTGCAACACTGTTTCCCAAACTCGAGGAGCACTGGCCATACAGAGCTCCAAACTCTGTTCTCTGATCATACTGGACCGTAGAGCACACCACAAGAAGTGGTGACACAAGACACTACACTGTTAACACCAACTACCCAGTTTGTCTTGCTGTTGCAGAGAAACACCTTGGCATTGCCACCACTGGCATTATCACTACTAACTACCATGACCAGAATACGCAGTTATGGAGATCCAGAAGGCTGTGGCTACTGTACTCCAGATTTGGCAGTAAGTTTGAAGAAACACAGTAAAAACAGTCTAGTCAACACTTTTCAGTATTTTTTTTTTTTGTTAACACAGCATTTGGGAACAGGATTTCCCAATGTCTGGACTATCTGTCTGTAAACAGCCCATTTTCCAGACAGATCTGCTCTGCTTGGGCAACGTGGGACTGCACCCTTGTTGGTGATGTGGTAACCCGTGACACCCAGCTCACCTTCCTCTGCAGAGCAGATCTACTTGTGCCATTCTCTGACGCTGGGAAAACAGATAACACCATCAGAAGCTTCCAATTAAACGTTCTCCCAGTTGTGCTCATTCTGAGCATAAAATAGGCATCCCCAGCTGGTGCCCTCCAACTCCTGTCACTGCTGATCAAGAGGAACCCAAGACAAAGTGAAGTTTTGACAGCCAGTGTCCATGTTGCACAGAAGTGATCCTCTCCATACTGCTTGAACATACAGGTTTTGGTGCTTCTGAGTATGTGGGTAACAAGGTTACTAACAGAAAAAGAACACAAAGCTAGAAACTTTTTGCATAGTAACAAAATCCCCTTCTATAGGATTTCACATTGAATTTTCTTACATTAATTTTCTACAGAAATAGCACATCCCCTTTCCCACTGCCTGATGCACCCTTATTCAGCTGAGGAACCCCACGACCCCAGGGGTGCTTGCCTTGGGCTGCAGGGAGGTGGAGCGTGTCAGCAGCACCTAATTTTGCAGTGGGGCTATGTTGGGAGAACTGCCACACGCCAGAGCAGCAAATGCTTTAGACCTAACTGAGCCTGCTGAGTGCTTCTGGATACACGTGGATACGGGACAGACATTGTCCCATGTGCTCCACAACTACCCAGTCCGTGTAGCAGTTACGTGCACTGCATACTGTAACTACTGCAGTAGACACACTAACAATGAGACCCTTCACGTAGATTAGTTAGTGACAAAGGTAAAACTCATAAAATCTGTATTATAAGAAGGTTGTTACAGAAACTCTGCTTCAGAAGCCTGCTATTCTTTGGCATGGCTTGATAGTAAAATTTCACCAGCTTGGAAATGCAGTTTCCTGATTTCTTTCTGTTTGTATCCCATCTGAGATTGCTCTCTGTGTCCTTGCGTCACAGCACATGCGAATGCCCACTGCTAGAAACCAGAAGCTCCAATCGCTGCCTCACCACCTCACGTAATCTCCTTGCCAGGTTACAATCAACCTACTTTTACTTGTGTTAAACGAAATCTTGAGGACACCTTCAATGCAATGGGCAGTAGCAGCAACAACCAGATGGTACAGAAGGTACCAAAGTCATCCTCTCTGTACGGACGTCGGTAGCTGCATCGAGAGCTTTTCTTGGTGCCTCAACATTGCCCCAGAGGGCAGCCCTGGCACTCACCTTTCAGCTCCGGAAAAGGAACTTCTAAGAGCTGTTACCTCTTGTAAGGAAACAGAGGAATCAAATCTGGCTACAGGTAAATAGTGCTGTACTTTTTGTAAATGTGTAACAACATCCGTCTTTTCTAAGAGAAATGGAGGATAAAAGACTGTTTAGCCATTCAGAGGTAAAAGCTCTTAAAGTCTCAGCTTTGTCATTGTATTTTATTACACTACCTTTGTATTTCACCACCGGTGCGTAGACTTTTTCCCCTGGCACGCTAGCCAGACTCTTGATATAACTTTCTCCACAGGCCTCCAAATTCTGCCATTTTTGCAGAGAACATTTAATTCCAAGTAGCTGAAATACAGTGCTACGCACTTCCCAGCCAGAGGTGTGGAGCAATCACTGAGCAGTGATTACACCACACCATCCCCGTTCCTCCAGACATTTCAGTGATCAGTGACGTTTCAGTCACCTTTACATGCCAAGGTGCTGGTAGCAGGAGGGTGGGGAGCGGCTGCAGGGGGGGCCTCTGTGAGAAGAGACCAGGAGCTGCCTCCGTGCTCCAGACAGCTTCACGATGGGCTGAATGCAGGACACAGCTGAGCCCATCAGAGAAGCTGGTGCTGCCTCTTTGGAAGCATAGTGAAGAGGGGAAAACTGCTGTGCAGCAGAGTGTGAGGGGTAAGGAAAAAAAGCATGAGAAACAACTCTGCAGACACCAAGGTCAGTGAAGAAGGAGGGGCAGAGGTCCAGGTGCTCCAGGCACAGAATCACAGAATGGTAGGGGTTGGAAGGGACCTCT